ACACCAAATTTCTGAATACAAATATAAGACTTTATTTTATAAAGGTGTATACAATTACCTCAGGAGTAGAATTGAAAGCTTGACAATAACATGGGTAAGCACTTATACCTACCAAGAACACAGAAAAAATCATCTCCAATATTACCTCAAAGATGCCACAAAATTTAATATATTCATAGCATAAAATCTCAGAATGAGCTAGTTGTGTTTGTGCATAGAATAACAACTTATGATTATTCAGTTAATATGAATCTTTAAGACTTGTAGGTGAGAGGCTTAACTAGTTTTTTTTTTTATCCTTATGGTATATCTTGGTTATTAAGAAAGTTATTCCTGTAAAAATTAATTGTTCCTGGAATAGGCATATGCATTTCATCAACTACTTAATTTCTAAAACTCCTACAGTGTCAAAGATTAAATAAAAGTAAAATATTTACCAACTAACTTTTGAGGATTTGGAGTGATGATGGAATATCCTGTGACTGTATTTGACAAACACTGAAAAATAATGAATCTTGTAGATGAAAAGTTGTCATATCTAACAAGCATCAGGACTATCAAAAACATACCTTAGCTATTTTGGAGGCTCTTAGTGCTGGTTGTGATTGTTCAGAAAAATCCAATCTTCAATGAGACCTTTCTAGAAGAAACTTCTACTATAAAATATGTGGATATACTAGCTAAGAATCTCCTTAATTTGATGTCAAAATGACAGGAAATAATGAAGTGTCTTCATAAGAAAAAAATTTCCTCTACCCTAAAGACTAAAATGATTCAAAGAAATCATAGGATTTGAATTAAAACAAATTCTCTTAATAAACTATGAGGAAATGATCTTTGATTTGTGATTCTGATCTTATAAGGTAGGAAGAAGAAAGTTCAGAGAAAAATGTTCAAATGGATCCATTCCAGTCATGGTGAATCTTTAAATGACATAGCATTGTGTTCCTCATTAAAAGACTATTTAAAGATGTTTCCCTTCAAATTTCAGGAATCCTTTATCTACTTTGCCTCCCAGGAGTCAATTATTTCGTTGATGGAAAGGCCTTGTTTCAGAAGCAGTTATTCTGGAAAGTCCTGTTTGACACTGGGGGGAATTGAATTCCCCATACGTGCAAGTTAACTTGTTTTGGTTCAATTTCCTATTTGAGAAAATAGTGAGGTACATTGGAGAAACTGGAAGGGCAGGGTTTTGAATTCGATAAAAATAAAATGGTGGCCTAACTGTAACATGAAGATCATGTTTATCAACCATAGAAAATGAGGGGTGTTGCATCCTTACCTGATTTTGAAGTCAAGTAATGTGGAACTCATAGAATCATTGATTTAAGGAAGATGATCATTGTTCTTTATTAGTTTGCTTAAGAGACTGGAGACACGGCTCAGAAGTTAAGAACAGTACTGGCTGCTCTTGCAGAGGACCTGGGTTTGGTTCCCAGAACCCACATTGTGGCTAACAATCATCCTTGTCATTGGTTCTGAGGGATCTGATCCCCTCTATTCTAGCCTCCACAGGCATTGCATACAGGTAGTGCATTTACATCCCTGCAAGCAAATGCTTATACACATAAAATGAAAATACATATATTTTAAAAAATTTAATGTTGAGGGCCTAGAGAAATGACTTAATAGTTAAGAGCACGGGCTGCTCTTTCAGAGGGTCTGGGTTCAATTCCCAGCACCTACATGGTGGCTAACGACTGTCTGGCCATCTGTAACTCCAGTTCTAAGCGAATTGAGACACTCTTCCGAACTTCATGGGCATTGCACTGCATGTGTGCACTTACACACACACACGCAATACATTCATACACTCAAAACAAATTTGAAAAAGATAAATTTGCAAAGTGAAAATAGCTCTGTCCTATATTGATATTTTGAGTCTAATCTGTATTTAATTTATTTATTCTCTGTTTTTTTATTTTTTCATGCTTTCTTTCAGCTTAGAATTGATTTATCCTTGTTTCATCTGCTCTGTGAATGAAGTTGCAGGTTTTATTTGACATCTCTCTGCTGTTTTTGACAAGTGTTAACTGATAAAAACATACAATTTAGGATTGTGTTTGATAAATCCCATCAATATTAACAACATTTTTTTGCATTTTGTTTCAAGATGTTTTAAAATTTCATAGCTGATTTCTACTTTAATTTATTACTTATTTAAAATTAAGTTTTTTTCAATTTCAATCAGCTTCTGTACTTCTCAAAGTTTTTTCTGCTCCTATCTTCCCATAATGTTGACTGGGTTTTGAAAAACACTTGGTATTGATTTCAGTCCTTTAATATTGGTTTAATATTATATTCTAGACTATAATATGATCCATTCTAAATTATATTCCATGTGAAATAGCTTTTACCATTGTTAGAAGAATTTTTGTAGATGACTGTTAGGTTCACTTGTCTTCTGTGGGATTTCATTTTTCTCTGTTGATTTTCTGCTTGAATCACTTTTGGAGACAAGGATGACGTCTGAGGTTTAAGTCTTTTTCTAGTTATATGAATGCTTGATTTACATATTTGGGAGCTCTGTTATTGGGTGCACATATAAGCAGAATTGCGATGTTTTATTGCAAGAATTAACTCCTTTACCATGATATAATATTGGACTTTGTTTCTTTTTGATGCTTTGGTTCTAAAGTCTAGATTATCTGTTATTGTTTAAATAGAGACCTTCTTTGTAGTACCTGAATAAACTTAAGCTATAATATCTTCATTTGAAAGCAAGGGCCAAATGAAATAGTGTAAGCCTCATTGGGCCATGGTGAAAATTAAGCGGCAAATAATTGAAAATTATGCAAAGAGTACATGATTTTTAAATATGTTAATAATTACA